TGCTGGAAAATTTGGCTGAAATGGGATTGTATTGTTTTGATGATGATGATGATGGCAGTGAGTCAGCATTCTTGTTTAGTCTCGTGGCTCAACCCACTCTTGTTAGACGGGTGATTGAGTCACAGAGACAGGATTCAGATTTTGATGCCATTTACACTTTGATCTCCAATGGCGAGATCGTGAAGGATTGGACCTTACATGCAGATGGAGGTCTACGGTTTAAGGGTTTGTTGGTTGTTCCTACTGTTTGTCGTGAGGACGTCTTACGGGAGTTTCACACTTCCCGCTTTGCAATTCATCCGGGTGGTACCAAAATGTATCACAGTTTGAGACGTTAGTATTGGTGGAATGGAATGAAGAATGATGTTGCACAGTTTGTAGCTAAGTGCCTTACCTGTCAGTAGGTGAAGGCCGAGCACCAGAGACCAGCTGGTTTATTGCAGCCGTTGCCGGTAGCGCAGTGGAAATGGGAGGAGATTGCAATGGATTTTGTGACAGGTCTTCCTAGGTCACGGAGGGGAAATGAAGCCGTATGGGTCATTATTGATAGATTGACCAAGACGGTTCACTTCTTGCCTATTAAGGCAATAGATGACGCAGAGACACCCGGTGTACTTTATGTGAAAGAGATTGTGAGATTGCATGGAGTTCCAGTGGCTATTGTGTCGGATAGGGATGCTAAATTCACCTCGAAGTTCTGGGAAGGACTTCAAGCAGCGTTTGGCTCAGCGTTGCACCTTAGTACTGCATTTCATCCACAGACGGACGGCCAGTCAGAGCGTACCATCCAGATCTTGGAGGATATGCTTCGAGCCTGTGTACTTGACTTGGGTGGTAGTTGGGAGGATCATCTTCCACTTATTGAGTTTGCCTACAACAACAGTTATCAGGCGAGTATTCAGATGGTTCCATTTGAGGCGTTGTATGGTAGACCTTGTAGGTCTCCTGTCTGTTCGACTGAGGTGGGTGAGACAGCCACCTTAGGACCCGACATTGTACTCGAGACTACCGAGAAGATTAAGCTAATCAGACAGAGATTGCTTACAGCTCAAAGCCGACAGAAGAGTTATGCAGATAGGCGGAGACGACCGCTATCCTTTGAGGTGGGAGATCATGTTTTTCTTCGGGTTTCGCCAAGGAAGGGGTTGATGAGGTTTGGGAAGAGTGGCAAGTTGTTGCCACGATTCATTGGACCTTTTGAGATCTTGGACCGTGTAGGAGAGGTTGCCTACTGATTAGCATTGCCACCGCAGATGGACAGGATCCACAATGTTTTCCATGTATCGATGCTACGAAAGTATGAGCCAGATCCATCTCACATTTTGAGTTGGGTTCATGTGGACATTGATGAAGATGTTTCCTACGAGGAGGGACCAGTTCAGATTCTTGACACACAACAGAAGGTATTGAGGAAAAAGACGATATCGTTGGTAAAGGTTCTTTGGAAGCATCATGGAGTTGAAGAGGCTACTTGGGAGCTCGAACAGGAGATTCACTCCAAGTATCCAGAGTTGTTTTCTCCCTTAGGTATGGCTTGATTTCGGGGACGAAATCTTTTAAAGTTGGGGAGAATGTAATGTTGTGATATATATATATATATATATATATATATATAATTAATGTTAAAATAAATAAGGCAAGTGGGCCCCACCCATGTTATAAACACACAAAAGGCCATAAGGCCATTACACGAGTCGACCTTTCTCTCTCTCTCTTGCTGTAACCAGACTGCTCTCGGCAGTTTCCATTTTTTTTTTCTTTTTGCAACTTCAAACCTTAATCTTGCTTTTTCCTTTGGGAATTTGGTAGAACATTGTGAAGCAAAGTTGTTGAGCTCTTCGAGGCCGTTAATTTGATAAGAGCCAATCATTATTTGGTGCACTATAGGGAGTTCAAAATTCTAGGGTTCTTGGGCTCAAATTGGGGGTTTTCATCAATTTGAGGTAGGGGTGTTCTAATCTACAATTTCTTGGCCTTTGGTGAATTTTTCCCCTTAAATTTGATTCTAAGCATGCTAAATTTTAATTACTTAGCTTCTTGTTGTTGTAGTTCTTTGTAATTACAATGATAATTGTGCTCCTTGTGTTATTTGAGTTCATATACATGTCTATTTTCATTACGGTAAATGAGCATGCTTAGTGTTTGATGTGTTGTATGTTCTATTTGATGTGTTGTATGTTCCATTTGATGTGTTATATGTTCCATGATTATTTATTTATTTATTGTCTTGAAGAAAAATGGATGCTATGGTTATAAATAAATAAATAAATAAAGGAAATGAATGTTTATAAATTTTCATTAAATTGTGATGATGATGTAAATGGAAATGTGTGAAAACATATAGTTAAATTAATGATTTGAAGCATGAAGTATTCATGCATCCATTGGGAAAGATAAAGGGGAAAAAATAATTGTTAGAACAAATAAAATTGTTTTGGGGAAAATATTTTCTAAAAGTGTTGCGAAAACCGGACACCTAGGAGGTGCCTAGTGGTCCGTGATGTTGGTGTAGTCTAGAAGGGAATGTAGTTGAGTTAACTAGGCCGGATGCGACGCCTTGGAGGTGCCTTGTGGTCGTATATAGTTAACCAACCTTCCTTTCATGACGCCATGGAGGTGCCTTGGGTCGGACTACACTAACAGTTTGGTTGTTGAAACGGAATTGTTTCGGAAATGGGGAGTGACATTTGCATAACATTGCACTTCATGACATCGTGGTAAATTTGTGATTGGTTGATATTTGTTATATACTTGTTATTGTGGTTGAGAATGTACGTTTCCCGATAACATGATCCCGTTCACTTTTTATCTATTCATTGCATGGATTCACGGGGACATAAGAAGTGTGTCTTAGACACTTCCTACTGAGCTTATGCTCACCCCCTTATTTTTAACATTTTTTTCAGGATATGTAAAAGAGGTGGCGGACGACGGTCCACCGTAGGTTTAGAAGAGCTTGAAGACCCATTCTATTTTGTTATCTTTTGTATTAGACTCTAATATTTTGTAAATGTAATATTAACTACCTTGTGACACTTTAGTTTAATTAGTATAATGTTGTAAGTTATGGACTTTTAATTCTAGCTACATTTTATGGACTGTAATTTGATGTAACTTAAGTGGGTTCCATGTTTGGATGAGATGGAGGAACGGGACTTTTATATGTATGTAACCATTTTGGGAATGTAGTATAATATTTGAATTGTGCGTTGGGACATGATAAGTTAGATTTAAGGCCCAGTGAGGCCATTACATTTATTTTTGTATTTCTACAGGTTGTTGAGGAACATTTTATGCGGAAGTCATGCCGAAATTTTTATAGATTTTTATTATTATTTTGGTATTTATTCGAGTAGTTACAAAAACAATTGAATACACTAGTTGTCAAGGGGAAAGAAAATTCATGATAAAAAAATAATTAAAAAAAAAAAAGAGGAAAGAAAAGTTAGTGTCAGAGGGGAGGCTGCTAATTGTCATCTTCAACTTTCTGTCTAACTAACTGGCAAAATTCTTACTAATTCTCATCTTCAACTTGAAATAAATAAATAAATAAATAAATACGAGCAAATAAAAGGCACTAATGGGACTAGACTTAAATTGTGTAGTATTCGATTTTTCTCTTCAATTTCATATAAATATATGACAGATTCATACTCTTGCTTTAAGCTGATTTTTCTCCTCTTTTTATTAACTTTCATACTCAGATTGGAGAGTTTGGCTGTTGAATTCTATTGGCTCTCTATTGGGAGAAATTAAGAAGATAAGAGAGAATGGCTGAGAGTGCAATAGCTTTTCAACAAAATTCTTAATTGTATATGAATACCAATTTTTTTTTTTTTTTTTTTTTCTTTTTTTGTTCTTTCACAAAATTCATGTTCTTAGTAATTTTATTATTAAAACATTTAGGACTTTTATTTATCAACGAGGTGAAATTAAAAATTCAAAGAAATTTCAAATTAGTTTTTAAAAATCACATAATATATATATATATATATATATATATATATATATATATATATATATCCACCTACACAAGGTGGTCCCAATCCGCTTATTTCCACCTACACAAGTTCGTCCCATCCATTTATTTCCACCTACACAAGTTGGTCCCCATCCATTTATTTCCACTGGCACAAGTTGATGATATAATTCAAAACACTGAATTTTTTTTTTTTTTCCTAATTGATAATGGCACATACTTGTCTCTGGAGATAAGAGGCTGATACCGCTAAGTCACTGGCCCATTAATTATGTGATTGGCCTTAGCATTTGATTAGAGGTTTGATTTCAAACCTATCATCATGTCGCCTTGATAGTGTTGTGCATGTTTGGTAATTCAGCAGGGTGTTATGTTTTGTTTGGATGGTATTTGGTTGTCGTAAAATATTTACGAATAAAAAAATATTAAAATTTAATTAAAAAAATATTAAAATTAAACTTTGACGCAAAATATAAAAATATATATATATAAAAGAAAAATAATTATTTTACGTTGGAACTCAAGATGAAAAACAGTTGTTCTATGGGTGTTCTGCCGACACTCGCCGAGTACTCAGCAATTCCAATCTCTTAGTCCTAAGCAATGTTAAGCTATAGCGGCCCACTGTTTGTTTTTTGTGGTTCACGTGCTACTTCAATCAGCTTGTATAATTTTTTTATTGAAAAAAAACAAACAATATTTACATCATTATTATTCTCTTTGGAGAACTCCAACTCTAGTCAATCATTTTAGGAGGTAGAGGAATATTTTCTCACAACCACCTATTTAGACAAATTTAATGCTTATCAAGAAATTAAAACCATGAAATTAGTCCCACTACTCTAAAACAATTGTCCAAACAATGTCTTGTCAAGATTGTCCAAAATTTATGTTAATTGAGTTATAGAAGGGCTCATTTTGTAATTACCACTACTACACTTCATCATTTAATTAAATACATGTCACCCCGGCGGCGGCGACCTTTTCCTATATATAGGATCTTTATATTGCATCTCTATACTATCTCTCTTAGTTCAAACACATCCTCGCTTTTTCTTTCACAAAGCTGTCTTTTATCATTGTTTGGCTCCCCACTGTCTTTCACACTCGGTGCCCTTTCCGCTTTTTATTCCAAACAAAGTTTTTCCACACAATTGACAAATTTTCTGAAATTTTACTTACTAAAATTCATACTAAGATTGGGGACTCTTGTAATCGATCTACTATTGTTCATCCTCTTGCTTTTTATTTCACAAAGCTGTCTTTTGTCATAGCTGTCTTTCAGAGTCGGTGCCCTTTCCACTTCTCATTCCAAACATAGTTTCCCACACAATTGGGAAATTATCTGAAATTCCTTCTCGATCAATCTTTTGTTCTCTTGATAGAAATCAAGAAGACCAGAGAGAATGGCTGAGATTGCAGTAGAATTTCTACTCAATCACTTAACCAACTTCATTCAACAAGAGTCAAGCCTCTTGGGAGGAATAAGGGAAGAAGCTGAGTCCCTCAGATATGAATTGGAGCACATGAAGGATTTCCTCAAAGAAGCTGATGCAAATGAATTCAATAACTCAGAGCTCCAAGTATGGGTTAAACAAGTGCGTGATGTTGCCCATGACATGGAAGATGTTCTTGATGAATTCATGCTCCACATCGCACACTATCATGGGGATGGATTCTATGGTTTTCTTTGTAATATTTGCTCTTTGATTAAGAACTTGATAGCTCGCCATCAAATTGCATCTGAGATAGGCAAAATAAAATCCAGAGTCAACAATATACATCAAAGCTACCGACAAAGACTCAGCATCTCTGAGCATGGATCAAGCTCCACCTTTGACAACAACCCAAGGTATGATCGTCGAGGTGATGCACTTCTAGTGGAAGAGGCTGAGCTTGTTGGGATGGATGGGCCCAAGAAACAGCTGATTAGGTGGCTTCTGGAGGACAGTCCAAGACTCAAAGTTGTTTCGGTGGTGGGGATGGGGGTATGGGAAAAACCACCCTAGTAAAGAAAGTCTATGATGATATGGAGGTGAAGAATCGTTTCCAATGTCATGCTTGGATCACTGTTTCTCAATCATTTGATCTCAGAGAGCTTCTCAAAGATGTAATGCGAAGACTCTTCAATGAAGCCAAGCAACCTGCCCCTCAAAGATTGGAAACCATGGGCATCAATAACTTGAAAGCGGAAATCAAAGATTTCCTTCGACAGAGAAGGTACGTGCTTGTTTTAGATGATGTATGGCAAATAGATGCATGGAATGCTTTTAAATATGCATTCCCTGACAACGATAGTGGCAGCGGAATACTGCTCATGACCCGCATTGTTGATGTAGCTTCTACTGATGACATCTATACTATGGAACCATTGTCCTCGGAAGAGTCTTTGACTCTGTTCTGTAGGAAGACATTCCGAGGCAACCACTGCCCTCAATATTTAGAGAAACTCTCACAAAGTATCTTAGAAAAGTGTGAGGGCTTGCCACTTGCAATTGTGGCAATTAGTGGTGTTTTGGCTACGAAAGACAGAAATACATCCCATGAATGGGAATTGTTTCACCGTAGCCTTGGCGCTCAGTTAGAAGGCCACGGCAAACTTGAGAGTGTGAAAAAGATACTCTCTCTCAGTTATTATGATTTGCCTTACTATCTAAAAATATGCTTCTTGTACTTGGGTTTATTCCCTGAGGATTACGTGATTGAGCGTATGAGACTGATTCGACTGTGGATCGCAGAAGGATTTGTGAAAGATATTTCGGAATGGCAATGGAAGAAGTTGCTGAAGGCTATCTCAACGAGCTTATTAATAGAAGCTTGGTCCAAGTGGCATGGATAGATGGTGTTGGAAGGCTGAGAGAGTGTCGCATCGATGACCTTTTCCATGAAGTAATTACTTCAAAGTCAAGAGAACAAAACATTGTTGCCATGGTAAGCAAAGAAAACACAAAATTGCCGGAAAAAGTTCAGCGCCTGTCAATTCAATATACCCTGGGGAACTTGCAGCATACAAATCGTTTTCCTCAACTCCGTTCATTGCTCATGTTTCAGTGGAAAAACCTATATCCAAATCGTTGAATCCTATATTATTCATTGGTGGGGTTAGGTTGTTAAAGGTTTTGGATCTGAGGGGTGCTTCTTTGGAGAAACTTCCAGATGAAGTTAGCAAACTATTTCATCTCAGGTATTTAAGCTTGAGGAAAACAAGGGTTATAACACTTCCGAAATCCATAGGTAAACTTGAAAACCTTGAAACTTTGGATCTCAAAAACATCTATGTAACTGAGTTGCCTGTTCAGACCTTAAAGCTCCAGCGTCTTCGTCATCTCTTGGTGTACCGTGACTTTAAAGCAATAGTGGGAATAGAAGGTTTGTCTTCCTTACAAAAATTGTGTTATATTGAAGCCAACCGTGAGAATGGTAGAATTGTAATGGGAGAGCTAGGGAGACTGACCCAGCTGAGGAGATTGGGGATTAGGGAGTTGAGAAGGGAGGATGGGAAGGATTTGTGCTCCTCTCTTGAAAAGCTGAGTAACCTTCAATCATTGAACGTTTTTTCTGTAAAAGAGGAGCAGATTGTTGATTTTTGAACACTTGTCTTCTCCTCCTGGGTCTCTTCAACGGCTCTATTTGTGGGGACGTTTAGAAAATTTGCCGCATTGAATAACTTCTCTTCATAACCTGGTGAGATTGCGGCTTGCGTACAGCAAGTTAAGGGATGATCCATTGCAATCCCTTCAAGAAGTTGCGTTTAGCAACTTCTCTATTTCTGATAGAAATTTTACTTTTTGAGGCTTACCCCTTAGAAGGGAGGAATTGTTTATCGAAGCGACAGGGTTTCAGAAGCTTAAGATATTAAAGCTTTACCCCTTAGAAGGATTGAGGAGGGTGAGAATGGAGAAGGGATCATTGCCTCATCTTGAAAAGCTGATTATTAGGAACTGTAAGTTGGTGGAAGAGGTACCCACACCCACTGGCATTCAACAAATATTTATCAGATAAATTGAAAATGACACTGGATCGAGACAAACAGGGTGGGGATTATTGGAAAATAGCACACATCCCCAACATTCATATATCTTGAACTTTCCTGGATAGTCGTTGGGAAGGAGATTATGTAGAGAGAGAGATAGAGAAGAGTCCTTGCAAAGTTGAGATCATTAGTATTGATCAGGTCACCTAATATTTGCTTTTATTTTATTTTTATAGGATAACTGATTTGTTTTTTCTTTGTTTTTCTTTTTTCTTTTTTAATATGTTATGTTATTTTATTTTTATAGGATAACTGATTCGGAGTATTCCTGGAAGGCAGTTGGGAAGGAAATTATATAGAGAGAGAAATGGAGAAGAGTCCTTGCAAACTTCTTGTTGAGATCATCACTATCTAATGTTTTTATTTTATTTTTATGATTAAGTTGTTGTATATTGTGTTACATTATACAATTTATTATGTTTGGAGGAGAGTAGTACAAGCAACAACATTTCATTTATTGTGTTTTTGGAAAATGCAAAGTTGTTGTTGAGATCATCACCTACTGTTCTGAGTTTATATTTATTCATTGTTAATTTTTATGTAATGCATTTCATTTTGTAGAGACAATGTATAAAAAAAGTCAAATTCAAGAACTTGGACTCCAACAATACTAAGAAGGTTGTCCAATTGTGTAATCTGGATAAATAAAATGTTGAACAATTTAATAGAAGGTTGCAGTTTTTGTCTTTGATGTTTGCTATTTAAGGTAAGGTAGTGTTTCGAGGAGCCCTTCAAGGAGGCACTTTGTAACCGAACAAGCAACGTTGGAGTAAAACGAAAAAAAAAAAAAAAACGTTCGAACATTGGAGTACATGGAGCGATTGAATAGTCATGTTTAAAAACTACTGAAAATTAATTCAAAATTCAAACAATCTAACTTTCAATTCGGGTGGAGTTCACAAGACCCTTAAGATATTATGAAAAGTTTGAGACAAATTCTACAATTCTTGCCAATTTATGAGATTACAACTGTTTTCAAACTCGAAATTAAGTCATTTAAACCCATGATTGATGATATGACAACTTTTTGACGAATGATATGACAACTTAACTTTGTGTATTTTGAATCGATTTTGTCTAGTGAATACATGGTAGGTTTGAGAGAAAAAATTATTTATGATAAAATTTGAACCCTAACATAACACTTTGATAAATGTTTTAAGGGGTTTACTCATTTTCTTCAATAAAAACCTAAATTTCTCAATCAATTTTTATGTGTGAGTAATTAAATAAATACATAATCCACTTAAAGTTTTTTAAAACTATATTTTGAGTCCTCTTTCTTTTGAATAAGAATCCTAATTTCCTCAACAATCTACATGTGTGAATAATTTGATAAATTGATCAATAATTTTCATGTTTATTATAATTATAATGTCGAGAGTGTATAAGAGTGTGTATATATATGTGTGTGTGTATGCATAAGAGTGTGTATATATATGTGTGTGTGCGCATAAGAGTAGAGAAAAGAAAATTAAAGAGAGAAACTTAATTTAATGTTCGTTCTCAATTGTTGTAATACTCCTAATTTTAAAAGGACAGTTCGGGAATTTAATTTACTTATTTATGTGCATTTTTAATAAATTAATTGTTTAATTGCTTGTATTACTGGATTTTATTAATTATCTGCTTGTTTATCTTTTTATTTAAATTAATTGTTGATTTATGTATTTAATTGTGTTTTTATTGTAATTAATTGTTTTCTTTTATTATTATTGTTTTTAGTTGAATTATTTTTAATTGGGTTAAGTTAAATGCTTTATGTATATGATTAGGTTTTTCTTTTATTATATTTTTTAGAAGCCACGTATGTGTAGCCGATGTAGGTTATAACTTAGGTTGTTCATGGGCCGACTAAGATTGGTATTAGGGGCTCTGGCTCTAATTATACAAGGATTAGGGTTGTAGTGTTAAGCCTATAAATATAAATCTCACGTTGGGTTTAGGGTTTTGGGAATATACACAAAACTCTTCTCACGTACCTAAGAGACAGAAAGGAAACACAGTGAGCAACAGAGAGAGAATTTGAGAGAAACAGAGAGTGAACCTTGAGAGGTTTACAGATCGAGAGGTTCAAGGAGGAAGGAGTGGAGTGCTTCTGGGTTGAACCAAGAGCACCGGAGGTGTTGAACGGCAGCCTAGGATTTTGACGGAAAACTCAGAAACGGAGGTTTAAGATTTCTGGACTGAAATCTAAAGTAAGTCTCTGTTCTATTCTTTCCCTTTAATCTGTGTTCTGTGCATGCCTAGCTAGACTCCAGGGGTTTAACTAATGATAAAACGAAATAGTCATGCATGCTTAATTGGATTAAAATAGAGAGTTTCATGATTTTATATGCTTCTTCAAAATTTCTTTATTTCTGTGATCTTTATGCATGAACTGTTGTTTAAATTGAATCTTTGCCTACTAAAACACTTAAAATAATTTAGTATGGACGTATGAGACTTAGGTTAAAGCTTAGGGGCCTTAACAATGAAGTTTTAGGGTTTACAGAGGCTGAACGGACGAAGAAGAAGACCCCAGCCGACTCAGTTGGAAACTGAACCGACTGAGTTATCAACTTAGCCGACTGAGTTAGCAACTCAGCCGACTAAGTTCCTAACTTAGCCTTCTCAGTTGTAACTTAGCTTGCTCAGTTGGGATTTTTGGTTTTAAACGCCCAGTTTGGTTTTTTGTGCACTGTTTGGACTATACAGAATGTTAGCACTTCATTTAAATTGTTTTAAATGATGTATATGATTGTTTTAGACTTGTAAGAATATAGGTAAACAATGATTCATAAATGGATTAAGGTATGAACAGTGTACAGTTAGGAGAAGATCCTACATGTTGAACTTTGAATGTTAATCAGCTTACAATTTGGAACTTGGAGGATTGTTTATATATGATTTAATTTTAATTAATCATATTTAGATAGGATTATAAGTAGCATGGATTATTTGAATTTAACCATGCTTGTGTTGGATATTAATTTTCAATTTGTTATTCAACTGCATCAGTTTATGGATATTTTGGAGGATGTGAACGCTTATACTTGTTTTAGCTGTTTACATTATTGGAATTGAATTTTTAGGCTCTATAATGACTGCCTAGTATTGATATACATGTGTTAATTTATATTGATGCATGTTTTGAAGGATAGTTGTTGGATATATAGTGTCGTTTTATTAACTATGCTATATGAAGGATTATATGCACCGATATGGGACGGTGACATATTAGGTATGGACTAGTTCAAACACCATGTTCTACCTAACTTGGATTGAGTTATGGACTAACCATAAAGGTTAAGTACATCTCATATTTGAGTCATATCAATTGAGAATTGAATGACCTACCTTGGTTTCAGAATGGATTTGTTATACATATATCAAACCACAAAACAGATGGATAATATTTTGTATTAGGAGTACGGAATTTATATATTTATTATATGGTACCATGGTATGAGCATGAGTCTCAGAACCATGGTTAGGGCGTATATTGCCTAGGATGGATAACTGGAAATATGTGTTGTTCCCTGGTAGGTTTAGGTACTCATGCTCACATTTAGGTGCGTTTTCGCATGTTGCCTTCTATTCAGGCTGAGACAGACCTATTGGACTAGCGAACGTCCTATAGTGTGTACTATATATACATATATGGACTACTCTAGATATTGTTGAGCTATCTAGGATGTATCTGCGTATCGAATTACTGTTTGGATCGTAGTTGGACAGGACTTGCATGTGGGCCTGACCCACTCTTTATTTTTCAGGTCTTCGTCAGTTCTAGGATTAGAGCTTGGACGTGCAGAGTAGATACAGATACTCATTCCTCCGATTACGTAGGACTACTTGCTATGTTTAGCATTAGACTTATTTCAGTTGTTTCAGTTTCAGTTTGAGATTTTAATAAGGGGTCCACTGGATGGATTCCCTAGTTGTACTCTTAGAGTGTTGGAGAGTTGGTTTCTTGTTATTAAGATTTGAGGATTTTATTGTCTAGTATTCTTTCAACTTTTAATTTTTATTTCTTTAATTCAAATTTGTATTCTGTGTTCGTTAACATATTAATTGTCTGATATCCCTCAGGTTTGGGCCTGGGCCTAATCAACCAGTGTCTCGGATCCGAGAGGTATCACAATTGTCCTTCAACGAATAATTCATACAAATGCGTATATACATTACTCATCTTTGAACTTATCTGCTTCCTTAATTTAACTATTAAATACGTTAATATTTCAACAAGAAAGAAAAAGTGTAAAATCTATTAAAATTAAAGACATATCTGTGATGTTTCTGATTTTTCAGCATTTTCATTTTTCCAATAATTCGTGGAGACAAGGGTATTTCTGTCTTTTCGCATGTTGTGTTCGGGATTGTGATTAGGTCTATTTGCATTGTGCATTTTAATTTATGTGGGTTAAGTAGTATTTTTATGTAGTGGTGCACTATATGAGTTGTGTGGTGTAGAAAATAGAAGATTAAAGAAAAAGAGTAAATAAAAAGAAATTTCGGTGCCCACCACTATTTCAAAAGTGGTCTAGAGACCACTATTTTGCTTCATACTTTCTCTCTCCCCGTACATCCCTCTTCTCGCTTAATTTTTCTTCCATTTTTCTTTTCTTTTTGAGACAAACTTTGATCCTTGATTTCATCTTCATTACTTGTCGGAATTGGGTGCCGTTTGAGGCAAAACGACGAGCACGACGAGCTCTACGCATCCATATAAGCAATTTCAATTTTAGTGCCCTCTTTGGAGTTCGAATCTAGGGACCCATTGTTGGGTTTTGATGCAAACTTGAGGTAGGGGCATCTTAATTCATGTTTTCTTGCTCTTTTGTGAATTATACCTTCCCTGTGTGATAATGTGTTTAATTTAGGAGTTAATTGTATCTATGATTATATTAGTGATGTCTAGAAAATTTCATGATATTGAATGTGACTTATATTATGTGAAAATCATGTCTAGATGCTACCTTGTTGTGTTTAATTTGATGATAATCCATTTTGAAATGTTGAACATGATATATGCTTAAGTGGTTGTTGTTGTTCTTTAAATGTCTTAATCTTGGAACCATGAAGCATATATATATACAAATGCATCATTGGGTTGCATGAAGTAGGAAGAATTGGTTTTGAAATGAAAAGGGGATTCTTAGGATATGAATGTTTTGGAAATGGTTTTATACAAACCCGGTCGCTGCGGGGTTACCAACGGGCCGAAGGTTAATATAGCCTAGGGGGGACTAGGGAGTCGCCCTAGCGTGGTTGAGCTAGCTAAGCCCCATAATGACGCCGCGGGGTTACCAAAGGTCAGGGACACTAGCCAATCCTCCTCTCGTGTCGCGGCGGGGTTACCAAAGGGCGGGTTGTTTTAACATTTGGAAAGTGATGGCTTTGAGAATGAAAATGGGGAGTGGCATTAGCATGCATTTGCATTCCACGGCATAACGATCTTTGTATTCTAATTTGGTTGGAATGATGTATTAATTCCCTATGTTGCATGCTCCCTATTTCCCATTGGCCTATACTTTGATTGGATTCACGGGGACACAAGACGCATGTCTTAAGTGTCACCTACTGAGCATATAGCTCACCCTACTATATATTATATTTTTTTTTCAGGTCTTGGAAAAGAACCGGCGGATGCTAATCCACCTCAAAA